ATTTAGATTTTTTTGGAAAGGTATATACAAAATAATTATAGTATAACTTAAAAGAAATTGAGAGATAAATTTAAAAATATTTTAAATCTAGAAGTGTCGCAAACAACAATAATCAATGCAATAACATATTTTGAATTAGCTCTGAAAAAGTCATCTATTGAGTTGATCAACATAAAATCAGATGAAAGTAAGCAAAAAAGAAAAAAAGTTGAGAAATTGTTTATTGATAATTCATCTGATTTAAAAATGATGTCAAATATTGCCATTTCCATTGCAAGCCCTTCTTTCTTATAATATAAACTATATTCAATATTTTTAGTTGTTTAAAATGCCCCTAAATAAAATGAATTTATAGAAAAGTCCATGTGTCCAAATTAAAATGAAAAATGTCTAAATTAAAATGAAAAATGTCTACATTAAAATTAAAAATGTCTACATTAAAATTAAAAATGTCTAAATAAAAATGAAAGTGTCTAAATTAAAATGAAAAATGGCTAAATATAAATAAAAATGTCTAATCAAATGTTAAAAACCTATATATAGGGATTATCCTCCCGTGCGCGCAGCAAAATTACCGTATATTTACTGTATATTTTTTAATCTAAAAATGAAAATATATATATTTTAAAACATATTTTATTTTCACTCATTGACTATTTTATATATTTTTTACCATATATTTTGAATATTTACTTTGAATAATGTTGTAAATATGTATAGTTAACCTACCTATTTTTTTAAATTCACTAATATATAACCATTATGCACAAATTAAGGCACCTTTAAATGAACTTTTGTTAAAAATAAAATATTTATATTTTTAGATTATTAAAATATACAAGTATCAGAGAGAGAGAGAGAAGAGAGAGAGAGAGAGAGAGAGAGAGTCATCAATTAATTCTTAATTCTGTCACCGTTTGCTTTTGTGAATGGATTAAATACCCAAATATGGCCATATCTGATAAGCATCGATGGTTCAGTGGTAAAATGCTCGCCTGCCACGCGGGCGGCCCGGGTTCGATTCCCGGCCAATGCATTTTTTTTTTACAATTTTTAAAACTCATTTATATATTATAGAAGAATGAAATCCACGGCGCCAATTTAAAATTGTAACGAATAGTATTTGAATAAAAGCATTTAATCGGGTAAAACCCGGGCGTTGCCCGGGTCATTCGGCTAGTTTAATATATATAAAAGAAACATGTGCTATCCTGACCGTTTACATTAACATATTAGAAGGCAGAGCTTCATCTAGAGAAACAAAAATCAACTAAATTTGATTTGCAAAAATACTCACATCATGATTTTTTTCAGGGAGTTTCATTGAACTCCTCGATGGGACCCTGAAGTACAGACTGCACCACGCTAAGTTGACGATGATAATTTAAATTTTGCTTAACAGACTTAACTTGTAGTTTTGTGGAAAACTATTCTTCAATGCATTATGTCTTCAATTTAGATATCTGATACGTCAATAGCTTATTCAAAACACCCATTTAATGTAATCAATAGCAAATGCAGCTAAATCAGTCCAATACAATAGTGAAGCGGTCTGGAGATTAAAAAGGCAGAACTGCAGGGAGGATTCCCCACTGAGGAACCATACCCTCCCTCTTTCTATTTTATTTATAGCAGGATAAGGGCTGTAGAAAACAAATTTTATTCTTTATATTTTAGAAGATAATTAGAATATAAAAATATGTATATAATTTTCAGAGATATGTAGAGGGCGATAAGTCAAAGATGATATTTTAGACAAACCTTTTTGTCGTTTTTGGGGCCAATATTGGGGAATGAAATTTCTCACCTGATAGTGAAATAAAATTTGAATAAAAATTGAGTTGATATTTATTCATTCCTAATAATCGCGCTTTGTCATTCCTCTATATATCGGTGAATATTTAGCCTGGAGGAAATTAATCTATAAAAAGAGGTCACCTCTCGCCAAAAAAAAAAAAGCCTATGCGCCATTGGTTCTGAAATATATCAGATTCGGGTCTATGACAAAGCCATATATTTCAAACACATAAAGTAGCAGGAGGATGGTATTCATGTACCAAAAGAGGCACCTTTTCATTTAAAATGCATCAAAATAATACATTTTATTTAGCATATATTAAAATAAAGTAGCTATATATATATATATATATATGGTATAAGCTTGATCTTGTTGTATGGATTTGCCAAAACATTTGTTTTGGCTCATTCTTTATCACCGCCATTAGGAGGGGGGGGGGGGGTTGTACCATAGTAATAAACCAAGAAGAGGTTCCACTTTTGTTACATGCTGAGTCATCCTTCCCTCTTTCTATTTTAATTGATTGAAAAATAAGAGCTGTAGAAATAAAAATTCAGTTTTCTACTTCACCAGATTGAACACATTTTTCTTAATTCGACCGATTTCATAACTATTCTCGTAGGATACAATGAAATCGAAGCTTCCTATTCATTTATAAATATTATTCATTTATAAGGGAGATTGGTAAAAATCATGATATACAGGTTGATTTTTTATCTGAATTTGCCAAAACAGGTGTTGTGACTCGTTCGTTCTCATCGATATTACGTTTTGTACTCAGATTATAAGTAAAATGTATTGTTTTAAACCCGATATCTCGCGTGATATTAACATAAGCAAATGTCAGATATTGGACTAAGTATCACCTCATACAAAAATACTTCTAGCAAATTAGGTGTCAATTTTCTTTCATTGATTTCCGATAGCCAATCGCTATATCGCCATCTCCAATGGAATGTTAGAAACTGCCTAATGGAACCAATTTGTCAGACAATCGCACTTTAAATTGGAAAAACATTAATTCGATCGGGAAAATACAAAATTGGAATGTCCAAACTTCTCTACAGGTGAACACATATGTGAAATTAATAATTCTAACTTATTGAGATTCAATTAGTCAACACGACTCATTTGTGTTAATTGTAAATACTCCTTAATTAGAAGGATAAATAAAGTAATTAATTAAGAATTGTCAGTTGTGTGGTTGATGACATTTATCTGAAGGTTTTAATTAATTGACGTTTCAGACGATCTTTTCAACTTTTGTGATTCATCGTTTGGTGAACATTGTGAGTTATGTAAATTGAATATTGTGTTCTAATTATTAATACAACTTGTGATTATTAATTTTGTAAATTATATTTTCCAAAATAGTCGTGGAGTTTCCTTTTGAGTTAAAAACATGCATACAGAATCGTTGTTACCAACGTATAATAATTGATTGCAGGGTAAACTCCTTCATACGATACTTATATTCAAAAATATTTGAACTATGCTATAATATATGAAAAAATAATATTAAATAATTTTTTTAAAATTTTGATTTTGATATATATATATATATGGTAGTTTAAACTAACAACCCCATATTGTATAATACTTATAACAAGATTTTCATGTTGAATGATAGAAACACATCTGTAAATGATTATACGCATGATTGACATGTGTCATTAAATCATCATATGTAATGTACTTTGTACAAACTGAGGATAAATAAATAAAACTCTGTAATAGATTAAGAGTTGAGCTGAAGCAAGAGATAGAAGTCAAAACGTCTAAAATCAGATGTAGAAGTCCCAAAACACCATCTAAAGATAGATAGGAAACTGTCAGGACTGCGCCAGTGTACGATTTCGCCAGCCGATCCACGCTCTTGTTGCATCTGCTGAAATGCAATACTTCCTCTTTCGGCAAAGATATATAAGGCCTCCGTCCTAGCCAAATTTATAGTCACTTCACCATCAGCGGAAGCCCTCGTCGGTTGTCACCAAGGTCCTCCTAATCCACCATGTAGACCAGTAATAACTTTTTTAGCTCTTTCTTTCGCTCCTAGCTCAACTTTTATCTGTTCACGGAAATTTCCTAGTGCAACTATGTCTTCGTCTTTTGTGTGGACATTCCCAAGCTTTCCACTCTGCCTCGACCACGACTGCCTGCACTCTGTGAGAACTGTTAAAGGTCTCCCAAGGTGCAGAGAGGTACTGGAAAACTCTCCACGCCCTGACTGTCCCTCTCGGTTACTAAAAGTTTGCCCCTTTCGTTTACCATAACACATCGAGAGACCCTCGGTTACCACAGTATAGCGAGATTCGACAGGATAATCAAAACGAAGGATAACACCACAAAGAAGAAGGTAAGAAGCCTATCCAGATAGAAGCGAGAAAGAGCAAAGATGGAGGAACAAACCGGCCATTCCAACGAAACGACCAAGCAATCTCTCCCAACAAGAAATATTTACGGAAGACACGCCGTCCCAAGGGACCTCCGCAGAGCCGCTAACACAGATCGTCAACGTCAGGAGCAAGCTGACCACCCCAACGACACAGCCGAAAATTCCGCAAGAAACGGAAACCGAGCAGAATGACGCAAACCAGTTGAGAAGTTTTCCACCTTCGTCCTGACATCGTCGAGACAATGTTCAAGGCGACAAGCCGCCATCAACTTTACAGAAGCTACAAGCTTCTACAAGCCCAACATGGAGCGTTTTCCATGTCAGCAGGAAAACAACCAAAGACTAAGTTTCCTGACTTTTAAAAACCTACCCAGTTAAAATCTGCCCGGTAAGCGGAAGGTTGTGGGTTCGATTCCCGCCCCTGGACACTTTTATTTTTCCGTTCGCCATTACTCTTCATATTTTCACCCTTTCATACTTCATCCAAAAAAGTTAAAAAGTTAAAAAGTTAAACTAGGGTAGCCTAGTGGACATGGCATCTGCCCGGTAAGCGGAAGGTTGTGGGTTCGATTCCCGCCCCTGGACACTTTTATTTTTCCGTTCGCCATTACTCTTCATATTTTCACCCTTTCATACTTCATTCAAAAAAGTTAAAAATAGTAAATATTTCTCTTTGAAATAAATATTGATTTTTCACGGAAAAGAAACGTATGCGGTGCAACTTTAAGTGTTTTATAATCATACGCCGCAGTCCTTTATAATGTATTATAAGTTACTTTAAGTATTATTTACGAACGGAAAAATACGTCCAGGGTAGCCTAGTGGACATGGCATCTGCCCGGTAAACGGAAGGTTGTGGGTTCGATTCCCGCCCCTGGACACTTTTATTTTTTGTTCGCCATTACTCTTCATATTTTCACCCTTTCATACTTCATCCAAAAATTTATAAATAGTAAATATTTCTCTTTGAAATAAATATTGATTTTTCACGGAAAAGAAACTTTTGCGGTGCAACTTTAAGTGTTTTATAAATTAAAATAGTTGAAAAACATTTTTTTTACAACTCTACAACACCCTCACACATTACTTTCTCCAATTGGCAACCATTATTAGTGCGCGAACACACAAACAAATCCAATTCGAGCCCCACTAGCTCCATAAAGTCGCCCCACTAAACACTAAAAATCTTAAATTTCTCGATACATGTTCGTACAACCACCACCCATGACTAGTACATTTGTTATTCATGGGGAAACAGGTTAGATTTTGTACTGAACAACGACTTCACGTGACACCTTTTCATTCACAATTTTTCACTTCGTGTCACAGCGCCACACCACAAAACTTTTTCACTTTTCAGGGCAAAGACGCCTTCACGCCTGTGACACATCTTACCTCAAAGCGTGTCCACGTCGAAAGTCACACTTTTAGCACATCTGACCTAATCACCGTGAAGAACATTTTACTAAGTCTAAACTAACTTCGAAACACAACCACTTACGAACACCGATAAACCCATCTTTCAATTATAACAGAAAATTGCCAACCTCAACAAAAGAAAAGAGAGAAAAGTCAGTTTCAAGTAAAATGACAAATATAACAAACCATCCCGCATGATTGACCACCCCAGAAATAGAATCCCCGACGAAAAACAGGAAGTGAACGCCCTTTATGACGTCACTCCCCCAAGTCGCTACTATCTTTGGACAATGTCCTCTCTCCCCTCACAAAGCTATCATCTTGGCCGTCATCTTCATGATCGCCATTTTCTAACACGTATTTCACACCAATCATTTAGATATCCTCGATAATCTCACAAATTCCTCAACCACACCACACATATCAAACATTTTAATTGTTAATGGAGATCACAATACATAACATATTAGTAACCAATCCAACCAATAAATTGCGCTTCTGAAATTTCTATCTATAGAACCGACACAAACACAGCGAATCACAATTTATTATTGGTACAATACAATTAATTTTACATTCATATTTCACTGTGCTTCTTAAAAACCCAGCGTCTGAACAATTTATATTATTAAACCACTAGAAAAAATGTACAGCTGCCAAACAGTTGTATGTCGCAATTATGCGATCACCAACGTGCCCTCTTTATTTATAAAAACTTTACAAATAATCACTAATTAAAACAACTTGGTTAAGTCTGATCTAGACTTTATAACGCGAAATATAAATCATTCTCTACATACCAGCATTTTGGACAAACGAAAATATTATTTCACTTATTCCCAGCTTCAGAGAGTTAAAAACACCGATGTTTACCAAAGGGATATGATCTAGTTACACACCACAGTTTCAAATACTCTTCAAAAGAGACTATTTTTGTTCAATTTTCCACTACCCAACATTTATTTAATCATTATAATAACCTTCAATTATATTTTAATTTTTGTATAAAATCTTGAATAATTATTTCCCTTTTTTTATCTTTCAATTATATAATCAAAATTTTAATCCACAGTTATTTAAAAAAAAATCAAATTTACTTTTATTTTTACGATATTATTTTAGTATTATAAAACATATTGCTTTAAAAATCATTTTTAATTCATTATTATATCTTTTATTTTAGATGTTTGATTTTGTCCACTTATACTTGTTCTACCCGCAATCATATTTATATATATATTTTTTCTTTTTATACTTGTGTATACCTTTATTATATGATAATGTTTATCATCAACTATCGGGCATCTACAATAATCGTTTACAACAATCATACTCTCTAACCTCTTCCCTATACTTTTCATCACTATCTTTTCCAGCCATTGCTTCACATCAACGTAGAAAAACGACAGTACTGCTTGACAATTTTTTTTTATTTCGTATTTCAACAAACTCTTTGAACACAGTTCCCCAGATTTAAAACTCCCAACTTCTGGTCTAAACACGCTTCAAGAGTTCATTTAATCATCCGCAGAGCACAATCACCAACGCATGCACAAAGCGTTCACTTTTTTCAACTTTCAACTTTTTTTATCAGTTCTAGCGGAGCACAATCAACCTTTGATTTGATGTCAAGTCAGATCACCTACTGTCGCTACAATTCTACTTATCGTATGGCTCTACCACCCCTTTCAATCATATTAATAAAACTTTTTTTCAACAAATTTTAACCCAATAACCTTATAAATGTGACAAAGCACTGTAACCCTTATATAGGATCGCAAATGAAACATTGTCTAGGACGACGCTCAAGTCTATATCCTCGCTTTGTATCTGGATCTGATTATTTGGTTGCATGTGTAATAATTACAATTGCATATTCTTTAACCTCTAACCCTTTCTAACGCCTGCCAATAATTTCTTACAATTTTTAATTCTCTTTCACATAATCATATCATTATGTATTTAATTTAAACAACGGTTTTATCTAAAAAAATATCTTTTTATATAACCAATATTATAACTTTTTATTTGAACAAGCTTTATTTTTATTATTTACAGATATATCCAAACAAATATCTTGTTATAGCTCTTTTTAACCCTCAGAGTTTATATTAAATAAAATAAATTTTAATTACTTACCTGTGTTAGAGAGGCTTTACCCGCTTAAACCCGGATAAACCCTTTCACTCCCGGGGCCCATCTATGGTAATTTTAAACTAACAACCCCATATTGTATAATACTTATAACAAGATTTTCATGTTGTATAATAGAAACACATCTGTAAATGAGTATACGCATGATTGACATGTGTCATTACATCATCATATATAATTTAATTTGTACAAACTGAGGATAAATAAATAGAACTCTGTAAAGAGAATGAGTTGAGCTGAAGCAAGAGATAGAAGTCAAAAACATCTAAAATCAGATGTAGCAGTCCCAAAATAACATCTAAAGATAGATAAGAAACTATCAGGACGGCGCCAGTGTACGATTTCGCCAGCCGATCCACGCTCTTGTTGCATATGCTGAAATGCAATACTTCCTCTCTCGACAAAGATATATAAAGGCTCCGTCCTAGCCAAAAATATAGTCACTTCACCTTCAGCGGAAGCCCTGGTCGGTTGTCACCAAGGTCCTCCTCATCCTCCATGTAGACCAGTAAAATCTCTTTTATCTCCATCTTTCGCTCCTAGCTCAACTTTTATCTGTTCACGGAACTTTCCTAGTGCAACTCTGTCTTCGTTTTTTGTGTCGACATTCCCAAGCTTTCCACTCTGCCACGACCACGACTGCCTGTACTCTGTGATAACTGTTAAAGTTCTCCCAAGGTGCAGAGAGGTACTGGAAAACTCTCCACGCCCTGACTGTCCCTCTCGGTTACTACAGGTTTGCCCCTTTCGGTTACCATACCACATCGAGAGACCCTCGGTTACCACATAAATATATATATATATATGAGAAAACAATAGAAAAAAAACAATGGTTGCCTGTAAAGTCGGTTTTACGGGCGAAGATTTTACGTGACAACGGTAGAATATTTATTGATATGAATATAATTAAATTGCACAATAGGAACAAGGAATTGAATGAAAATAAGAATTGCACAAATTTTAACTATAGAAATATATTTTGTTTACTAAAACATTGTACATGTAAACTTAAACTTAACTAATTCCTATTTGAGTGATTTTGTTGAGGATAGGACGATGATAGGAGAAATATGAAATGAAAGGAAGTGTTTCTGCTGTAATGTGTCTTGCGAAAGTCAAGTCGATAGTTGTTCCTTTTAACGTAGTTGACTTAGAAACGTTTGATACGCAATCAAGATTATACGTATTTTTTCATGAAATTAAGAAACGAGTTGTCAGGCTTTACGTTTTTGTTAAAATCACCACACAGAAGAATCGGTATACTAGAATCAATTTGCACGAACGGTGGCACGTACTGGCTGTTGTGAATGTACGGACCGAGTCCTTGCCATAGTAACATTCCAATATCCTGCATACTAGCTCCTGGATGAATATATACAGCACCGAGTATAAACTTGAAGCTAGTATTAGCGGCGAAGCAAGTAACTTCAGTCATGCACATGTCACCCTTGGTTTTAATGACACGAGTTACGTCTGTAATCGCAACTTGGAACACTTCCGCCGTAGATATCGGTGATAATTTACGATAGATCGCCACTCCACCAGCCGCGTTGGTATCTGAGTTAGGTCGATTATTTTCCCTGGATACGCACTCATAACCCTTGATTGGAGTTGGTTCACAAGTGTCGCGCATCCACGTTTCAGTCAATACTAAATAGTCTGATCGTGGTATCACTGTATCTGTTTCAATGTCCGCGGCATGGGCACTTAAACTTTGACAGTTGATGTTCTGGCGGTAGAGGTGGTGTGTGGAACAACGAAAGGTACTGCAGACATTGACGGCACCATATCCTCCGTCTCCATTGAAGTACTGGAAGTTGAAGGCACCGTTTCCATTGTTTTGAGAGTGGTGATTCCTGTTGAACATTTGAAATTGAATGGATGAATTTTTAATTTTAAAGAATCAATTTGAAAATCAAAACACTTATTCAGATCGAAGGTTCAAATTTTTGCTAAATAAATTTGAAATTAAATAAAATTTGTAATTGTAAATGATGAAGTTGAAAATTAAAACATTTACTTATATTAGATGTTAAAATTCTTGCTCAACACAGTTTAAATAAAGTTTTCTTATATCTGCCACTTTTTCTTAATATTTGTAATTTTAAATAATCAATTCGAAAATCAAAACATTTATTCAGATCGAAGGTTCAAATTTTTGCTAAATAAATTTGAAACTATTTAAAATTTGTAAAATAATAATTAATTAATTAATTAATTTTAAACTAATAATTTACTTAACACTATCAACATTTATCAATAGTATGACATAACCTATAAACTCAGTTTCTCAACTTTTGTGTCAAT